CTTTTTTTTTTTTTTTTTTTTTGGTGAGACAGGGTCTTGCTATGTAGTTCAGCCTGGGCTTGAAATCGCTATGCAGTCCAGGCTGGCCTCGAACTCACAGGGTCCTCCTGCCTCAGCCTCCTGAACTCTGGGATTACAGACATGCACCACCCACGCTTGGCGTAAAATGTATACATTGAACGGTCCACTCCTACCTTGAATTGTAGTGCTTTTTCCTGTATGATGTAAGAATTCTAAAATGCTATACTTCCATTCCACCATCTTTCAATCTTCGCTGCTCTTGTCAAATATTCCATCTCTGCAGGACATAAACTCAACAAGACGTAGTAGTCCACTCTGGTCTGCTCTAGTTGTCCACTTTTACGGCTTCACTGAGGTTTGCTTTACAGAACTTAAAACCCAGCCGTTGTAAGTGCACAGTTTAATGATTCTTGGCAAATTTATGATGTCTTACAACTGCCGATGTAACTCAGCTTTAGAAAATTTTTATTTAATTTCAGAAAGATCCCTTGTGCCCTTATTTATTCGCTTACCATTGTCCCAGCCATGGGTCACCACTAATATGCTTTATATGTCTATGTCTTTGCCTTTTCTAGATATTTCATATAAATGGAATCAAACCATAGGTCTCCTTTTGCACTGGCATTCTTTCACTGAACAAATGTTTTCTGAGACTCATTCCTGCTGTAGTTTGTATCATTCATTTGTTCTTTTTTCACCGCTGAGTAGTATTCCACGGCCTGGCCCCATTACATTTGATTTCTCTGCTCACTTCTGTTCCATTTGATGGGCACCTGAATTCTTTCCACTCTTTGGATATCATGAATGCTGCTCTTAATACTCCTGTAAACATCTGCATGTAGGGCTGGGGGTTTAGCTCAGTGGTTCTGCCACCTGCCTTGCAAACACAAGGACCCAAGTTCAATCCCCTGTACCAAAAAAGAAAGAAAGAAAAAAAATCTGCCTGTGTAGCTGTTTTGTCTCTCTTGAGTAAATGCCCTATGCCGTGGAACTGGACTATTCAGTAAACTTAGGTGTAACTTTTTAAGAATTTGCCAACATTCTTTACAAAGAGGTGGAGATATTTTGCATTCTCATCTGCAGTTGAGGATGTTTTAAATAATGAGCAGAAAATACAGTTTTTGTATTTATTACCATCTAACTTTTAAGGTGATCTTTATTCCCTAAAATTAAAAATCTAAATTTCCAGTAGAATAATTTCCCTTCCTCCTGAACATTGTGTAGGTTTGCTGGCGATAAATTCTCTCAATTGTAGTTCATCTAAAAATAGCTTTATTTTACTTTAATTTCTCTCTTTTTTTTTGGACAGGGATCGAACTCAGGGCTTTGTGCCTGTGAAGCAGGCACAGTGCTGCTGAGCCAAATGCCCAGCCCTTTACTTTAATTTTTGAGGGGTAATTTTACTGGATATAGAATTCCAGGTGGATGGGTTTGGTTGCTTCCTGGTTTTTAAAGCTGTTTTCCATTGTTGCTTTAGTTGCCTGTTTTCAGGAAGAAGTCAGACAACATCCTTATTGTCTGCGGTCCTAGACACTGATGCGTTAGGGTTGTTTTTTTTTTGGACACTTCATTTAAAAAATTTTCCTTTTAATTAGTATATGTTTGTGATACATAATGAATCATGGGAAGTCATATTACATCTTTTTTTTTCTTTAGTTTTTTGAGGCACAATCTTGCTTTGTAGTTCAGGGCTTCCAACTCACTATGTAGCCCAGGCTGGTCTTGAACTTATGGCAACCTTCCTGCCTCAGCCTCCTGAGTGCAGGGATTGTGAGTGTACCACCATGCCTGGCTTCATAGCACATCTTAATCCTTTTCATTTTTTTGGTAAAGTTGTATCTTGTTGCTTTTTAAATCAACACTACCACAATGTTCTAGCAGTGGTTTTCTTTGTGTTTCTACTGCATTCCTTTTTCTTTTTTTCTCCTGAGACTCCAATTACAAGCCTATAAACTGCTTGATATCATACCATGGGTAATACTCTCTTCGTTGTTTTTTTTTTCTGATCTGTTTTTCAGTGTCGGTGTTGGTATATTTTGACCTGTTTTCAGGTTTAGTGATCTTTTTTTCTCATGCCAGATCTACTGTTTATTTAATACCTTTTCATTCCAATATTTTATTTTTATTCCTTTATTATTTATTTATTTATGATTTTTTGAGACACGGTCTCACTATGTAGTTGAGACTGACCTGGAACTCACTACGTAGCCCTGGCTGGTCTCGAACTCACAGCGATCCTCCTGCCTCAGCCTCCAAAGTGCTGGGATTATGGGCGTGCGCCACCAGGCCTGGCTTCATTCCAACATTTTAATCTTTATTTCTTGAATTGCTGTTTTGTTATTTTTCCAGTTTCCTGAAATGGACCACTTCTGTACCCATTGTATTTTGTTCTATAAAGTTCTTCACATACATAAATTAGGAAAATCTTAAAATGTATACACATATTAGAAATATTCTAGAAAAACCACATATGTAGAAATATATATTTTATATGTTTATATAGTTCTACTAACAGGTTCATTTCTGCATTTATACTCGTGTGTGCTCTTTTTTGTTCAGTAAGTTTATTGGTACGTTTTAGGTACACGGTAGGATGACATTCATCACTGGGAATTTGTACCTCTACATGATGCGTCTCGGGTCTTGTTTTCTTCCCCAGTTGTGCTTTTTCTCTTGATGATGGGTCGCATTTTTTCCTTTATCCTCTTGCTTAGGGTTTTGTTTTATTACATTCATGGAAAGCAGGTATAACACTAATTGTGTTTGTGGTGCAGTTTTGCTCGTTCTTTGCCCTATTTGCTTCCTAGAAAGTCCGAATGCGTTCTGCTGTCTGGGTGGTTAGATGGAGAGGGTGATCATTCCGAATTCTCCTAGTGAGTAATGGAGCTGGCGATTAGAAAGAACTTTAATTACACTGAGTTACCTGTAATTAGCTCAACCACAAACATCCGCTGTCATTTTTTTAAAATCATTATCTTGTCAGTATTTGAGGTAGGAGGGAGTTGGCTGTCATTTCAGATATTCTGGGCTCTCATTTAAATTTGATGGCTTCAGGGCCCTGCAATCCAATCGCTGGGAGTGTGTGGTACGATTACTCCAGCTTCTCAGCTACGGAGCTTCCTGCACCCCCGTGTCCAGCAAGATGCTGGGCCGGGCAGGTGGGGAGGCCGCCGGGCCGAATGGCCTCCCTTGTGTCTGAGGCCTGCCTGTCCATGTCGTTGGCCTGTGTGACTTCTTGTGCCCAGGACTCTTCCAAACTCCACTCGGACCTGCATGCATTTCCCTTGTCTTAGCACAACTCTGTCCGTGCAGGGTCACAGAGCAGCACCGCCCAGGAGAGGCAGCTGCTCCAGCTTTTATTTCTTCCTGGAAATCAGTTTACTGAGGCTTCTTTGATTCCCGTGTTCTTCCCTAGCACCACAGAGTCTGCTTTTTTTCTGCTTTTTTTTTTTTTCCTTGTTGCCATAAAGACAAAGGTCTTTTACTGCACTCAGCATCCTTAGAAGCGGTATCGCTCTCCATCAGTATCAGCTATTACTATTAGTAATACTATTACTATTAGGAAAATAAGCCAAGAAGAATATAACTACAACCCAGATGAATGCCGTCACACAGAAGTACACGGTTCTCCTGGAGTGTTTTCTGGCAAAATGATCATCTTGCAGATGGGGACACTGAAGACACCCGAGGAGCTGGCCCAAGGTCAAGCACATCACTGGGAGAGAGCAGCGTCAGGATTTACACCCAAGTCACCCGATCCTAGAACCCAGGGTTTTGCCCAATCTGCTGTAAATGATTATTTAATGCACTCACAGCACACAGTAAATGCTTAAAATGGCACAACGTAAAATATGCTGTCCCTATCTGACTTAGGGCTGGGTAGTACATGGACAGTACAACAAATATTTACTTAATGAGGGAATAAAACCCTCACCTCATCAAATGTATGAAACACACACACACACACACACACACACACACACACACACACACACTCAACCTGACCTGGCAGAAGAGCCTTCTGTGGAGTGATTCTGAGATGTTTCTGGCACACACTGAGTATTCTCCCTTTCTCAGCTGGCAGCCGGAGGTTCTGAGGAATACCATTTAATGGTATAAATGCACACAAGTCACCGCTCCTCAACCAACAGCAATTCTGCCCCACACTTCCTGTCACAGATATCTGACAGTCCTGGGGACAATTTTGGTTGTCACAAGTGGCTTGGGGTAGGGTGATGCCATCTAGTGAGTAGAGTCAAACGATGGTGCTGAAGATCCCACACTGCACTGGGAGATGCCCCACAGTCAAGAGTCACCCTGTCCAGCCCCGTGGGTGTGACAATGCCCTCCTGTAATCCCAGCTACTTGGGAAGTTGAGGCAGGAGGATCACAAGTTCAAGGGCACCGAGACCCTCACGTAGTCTGTATTTGTAGATCCCAAAGCTCAGCAAAGGGGTCAGGAGTCAGTAACCTTCCCGGGAGAAGACAAGAAAAAGCTACAAAAAAAAGCAGTGAGATCACCAGGTCCCAGTCTCTGCCATGCTGCAGGGTGACAACATCTTCTCGCCCTCCGGGTTTCTTCTCCGGTGACCACAAAGCAGGGCTGTCTGCGTGGAGACCTCCAGGCATGGGGGCACCACCTGCAAATGTTGGGGTACAAACTGAATGCAGTTTTACATGGAGACTGAGACCACAGCTGTGCTGCCTCCTGGAGCCCTGACACCCAGACCCGTGACTTCCAGACAAGAGAACGGCAAAGTGTCTGCTTGGAACTGATGGATGAATAGGTAAGATCCAGGGACACTGAGAGGGGTGCTTTCCCCAAATGCTCAGCCCTCCCGCCCACCTTAGGCCCTCACTGTGTATCAAGCGGACAATGAGAGACCACTGGGCATCCCTGAATGTCTCTCATGAGAACACAGAGGCCTAAACAGACACATGGAGCTTGAACAGAGGAGACAGTATACATGGGTGGTTAGTGCAAATCACAAGCATGCAATCATAATCCAAACAAACCCCTCTGAAACCAAAGACAGATCACAGCAGACAATGCACCCATAAAGAAAAAAGAACATGATGCCACAAAGCCAAAGAACACAGAAAAAAAGAAGAGCTCTGTGGGAGAAATATGATGGCAGAAACATGTGCTCAGCACAGAGAACAAACCACATTTCCACCAGGGAAAATCCATGGGATGTTTTAGGGCAATGGTAGCACAGAGGAGTCTACAAACTTTCTGGAGAACGAAACCAAAATCAGAACAGCTTCAGACTTCTCAACAGCAACACTGAAAGTGTGAAGACAGTGCAACAAAACCTTTAAAAGTCTAAAGGCTGCACTCACTTCAGCAGCACATATACTAACATTCTAAAGGCTATGTATTCCTCATGTAGACTTCTATGTAAGCCAAAACACGAAAATATTCTTAGACACGCAAAGTCCCATTGACCTTTTCTCAGAAAACTACTTGAGGATGTGCTCCATCAAAACAAGGGAGTGAATCAAGAAAGAGAACAATGTGACTCCAAGAAATGTGAATCCAGTTCAAAGTTGGTGAAAGGATCTTTAGGGATGGGTAAGGGAGATCTGCAAGGTCATCTGCAGAGGGCAACAAGTCTGGTTTGGAAATGCTGGGGGTTCCAGCAAGGACTTCTTTCAAGATGAAACTGGAAAAAAAATCTGGTGTGACTGAAAATACTAAGAATGATTTGGACAGCTGGAAGAACGTGGGGCTAGAAAAATTAGCAAATAGTACACAGAAAACTACGCAAATGAAAAAAACTGGTGACAGTCATGACACTGAATGCGAATCTCTCCTAAATCATGGCACAATGACTCAGATAGGATGTAGGGATGGATGTTTGGGGTTAAGGGCAGGAGTGGTCAGAGACTGGAATGGATCTCCTAAGTCAGGGAGGAAATGGTTATGGCCTAAAATAGGAACATGTACCCAGCACTCCAGGCACAATTTGTAGTGAAAAGAGCCAAGGACCAGAGGGGCCCACGGAGGTTGCTGAAGATGGCTGGTTGCTTCTGGAAGTGGAAAGAGAGGCTGAAGACTGGCCTGTGTTAACCATCCTCCTAGACATCGGACTCTACACCAGGGATGTAGGTCATCGGCAAAACTTGAAAATCGAGCCAGGTGTGGTGGTACACACTGATAATCCCAGCACTTAGGAGGCTGAGGCCAGAGGATCTCAATAAGTCTGAGGCCAGTCTGGGCTATGGAATGAGTTCAAAGCTGGCCTGAATGACACAGTGAGATTCTGTCTCAAAAAAAAAAAAAA